AGATGGGGGGTTGAGAAATGATCAAACCGGGGTGGGACAGAACATCCTGCGTGAAACCGCATCCTGAACAAGCATCACCACGATTCACTGTAAATAAATACTCTCTCCTTGCAGCACTTCCGTCAACTGTCACTGCCTTGGCTCCAATCACCTTTCAAGTCCAAACAGGAAAGCAGAGAAAAGCGAGTGAGATGGCAGATATGAGGTTTAATTTGCTTTTCACTGCAGTTTTCACTGGTGGTGCGCTTCCAATTCGCTGGGATTGCCAGCTGCCTAGAATCACTCCTGGACCCAGTTTTTTCCTGTTAACCTTCATAATTGTATTATTATGGGCAAGCCCACAAACGGTGCTACAAAAAGCTGTAAAAAGTGCAGCTTCTTCCTTTTATTAGATAAGCAGCCAGATTCAAACTCTGCTGCTGCAGACAGAATGGCAGCTGCGATTTGCTAAAGATGTGTGGTCACCTGCATTTTACATAATCCAAGATGTTGCTGTTAAAATATATATATATAAATAAATAAAAAGTGGGGGCAAGGGATTCAAGAATGAAATAAGTTTGACCTCAATTTTCTGGGAAATTTATGAAAATATATATGAATGGAAAGATCAAAGATGTGGATGGATAGCAATAGTGGGCTGGCGCAGGAGAGGTATGATTCAGAGCTTACTTTGTACTTGCACATCAGGCTTGCGGTGGGGGTGGGAATGTCACATCTACACCCGAGGTATTTAGTCTTAGCCTCCAAGGCAGCATGCTGCCTCTCTTCAACGCCCCCTAGTGGACAGTGTAAACCCGCATTACAGGACGCCTTGCTGCAAAACGGGGAAATGTGAGGCAGGGCTGGCATTTACACAGGAAGAAGAGGAGTAGTAGTTCTCAGGGGAGTTCTTCTTTGAGAACAAAGGAGTGGGTGAAAAACTTCATAAACCTAGTTAGACAGGACATGATCTTAGAGTGCCTGCCTGAGGAGGTAAGAAACTGCCTTGGCAGACACGCACCAAGACTGGGTCGGGTGGGGCATGCTGTGATGCATGGGATCTCTTCCTCACAGCCACATGCACGCACAAAAGGAGCAATTTAATTAATAAAAAAAGTAAAAATGAAGCATTACATGTACAAGCAAAGTATTATTAAAAGCTGTAATGTCTCACAGGTTCCTATGAAGTCATGTTCTTACAATTCACTCATAAGAATTTAAAGACAAAATTACATGCTTGGTAATACTCAGGGGAGTACACTTTTCTATGTGGCCCATTGTTTATGTATGATGCATGGCTTCAAGAAAGTGGCATTGTTAAAGGGATCGTAAATTACCAAGGGGGAAGTTTGACTTTTTTCAGAAACCTTATTCCAGACAGGGCTTCCCTCAGCAGCAGATGATTTTTTGTTTGTTTGAACAAATGAAGTAGCTTGGGATCCACAGCACACACTGTAGGGTTTTCAAATTGCTCTGAGACATCAGCACCCCCACGGAGATGCTCTAGAGAAGTGAACCTATTGTGGCCTGCACTGCAGTTGTTGTGGTACTAATTCCAAGTGTGGGGTTTTTCTTGGGGGGGGGGAGGGGAAAGAGGGCTAAGATCATTATTTGAGATAGAATTTTGAATATTAAATATAATGGGTAGGGTTTCTGAAGTGCCTTTTACAAAGTTTTTACCTGGTGCAATTGGGTTTCTTGAGTTTCCTTCAAGCAACACGGCTGGGTTCCGTGTAACTTACGGGGCTAAGAATGGACTCCAAAATTGCTTAATACCCCCGCCTCCCCCCCATGCCCTTCACCCCAAAATATGTGAAGTAACTCGTAGCCTGCCCCTTGCAAAGCAACCACAATTATTTCTTCGATAAGGCAGAAATGTTTTCCATCTAACGTGAGCTGGAAACTTAGACTCCATGACACTGCCCAGTTCCATTGCAAACACTATGTCAAATTTAAACAAAGGGGGGAAAAGCCTGTTGTAACAGAATACCCAATAAAAATGTACCAAGCACTAGGAGCTGACTACCTGTTGAGACCAAATCCTGCAAATGCTTCTGGAAGTACAGACACCTATTCCTGTGTAAAGTCCTTCGAGCAAGGGTCTGTAATTGTGGATTGGACTCTAATTCATGAAATCGTTTGGGCCAAATGATCAGAAGTACTGGTTTTGAGAGCCCAACCTGACACTGCTAGGGCCTGACATTCAAAAAGTATCAAGCGCTCACAACAGCTGGTTAAGTCCCGGGGAGCTACATGATGCTCAGCAGCTCTGAAAACCAGACACGAGATATTTCAAGTTAGGCACCCGGAATTAGTAAACACTTCTCAAATATAGACCATGTATCCACCCACTGGGCACGCAAGACTGACTTCTATAGATTTGTATTACCTGGTTTTAATATGTACATATTTTTCTGTCCCATGTTGGTTTTGTACATTTTCTTTGTCACACAACAGTTTAACTAATATTTGAAATTGTCAATAAAGACAACAAAATACTTTTGGTCATGAATTGCAGTGACATGTTAAACTTTTCAAAGTAATGTGAAATATCAGCAATCAACAGTTTTATGGCTATATTACTCTTTCAAACACTTGAGAATTTCCACTTCTATATTTCAGTGCTTATCAATTAAGGACACATAGGGCCCAATCCTGCAGCACTGAAGTCAATGAGAGTTTTTGCCTTTAACTTTAATTTGGAGCAGGATCGGGACCATACCTGTTCTGTGTTTATGTATTTATCCATAAAGAATAAATGGTATTAGTGGACTACTTTATTTTTTTTCCCATTAAAGTATATCATGCATATCGATGTCACAAAGTTCCAGATACAATTAAGAATTAGAAGAAAACTATCTTTCAATCTTAATTTATCAATTTAGGTGCAAATAGGATACACCAAGGGCCAGATCCTTTGCTGGCATCCAGTGACTACAACAGAGCTATGCCAATTTACACTACCTGAGGATCTGGCTCTATAAATCTCATTTATCTCAGATAGTTACCACCTTCAGAATTTAAGAAGAATAAATTATCATGGATTAAGCCTTAGCAAACCTGCTTAGCAAATTTGACTGTGTTAATGCCAGTACATGTATTTTAGCATCATTCATTCATAACTGTACAACTTAATAAGGCACCTGGTCTAAATACGCTATTAACTAATAAGATCAATGCAATACAAGTTATTACCAGAAATAAGAAAAATTACCTTTTTATGTCAGAAGTTAATGTTTGCCAATTTGTGATGGCTCATTTAGGAGAAACACTGTTGAAGGATTATACTACAATTCCACTTATAGCAATTCACTATAAATATATGGAATGCTAATATATACAGCATTTACACACACACACACACACACCCCAAGGTACTTTTCAACTCCGGAAGTGAGTTGGGAATATTCAATAATGCTGAAGATCTTTTCCTTCCTTATTGTCAACATGAGCTTTTGGAGGCCAATGGAACTCTAAATAACCATTTATGCTTAGTAAAATATTTGAATGTATTTCCCGGATGGAGGGGGAAGTGCTAGGACTAAGTCAAGCTAATGCTTTTGAGAACTCATTACCAAAACATTGTAACAATACATTTCCAGAGCATGTGTCTGTCTTCCATGTTTCATGGAAGATTTCTAGTATGGGTGTGTTCAGGGGACCATCCTAATGGTCCGTTGACCCACTGTTATGGAAGCTTTAGAAAATTTATGTCCAACTTGAATGCAATCTGCTGTAATTGACATCTTTGACCCAAAGCATATTCAGGCCTATACGTTGAGGTTCTTTAACACCCAAAGTGGGAAAAATGTGATCTATGCAGCTGCAACATGATTGAGCCCCCTGGGTCAGTCACATGAGCAGACCTGCTTTGATTCTGGCCCTCCTAAAGGGCCGGTGGGTGGCAGCAACAGAAGTTCTGGTCAAACCACACAGATCTATTTTGCTCTTTACTTGCTTTTCCTGTGGCCATGTGTGCTCTTTTCCCAGCCTTCTCCCTTCATGACCTAGATGGTGTTAGAGAAGGAACTCGAGTTAAAGTGGTTTCAGAAGAAGTCTGTCCTCCTTTACATGAGGTGGATAGAGAAGGGGACTACAGGTCCCACCACCATTGGATGAGGAGTGTGTCTCAGGTCTCTTGCTAAATGGAGAGGCACGGAGTCTCCCAGGCAGGGGACACCAACTCATTTCTGTTGGCCCAAGTGGAATGGGATGGTAGAGTCAGGCTTAAGGGGGAAGAGAGAGCCTTAGGATTTGCCAGCCAAGGCACCCCAAGGTGGGGTGATGATTTGTTAAAATAAACAAACAAACACTAACAAAGAAAACCTCCAAGCCTTCCCAAAGCCAGTGCAGGGTGTGTTCTGGTGCCAAAAAGAGTCCTGAAATAGGCT